CCACCCAGGTAAACTAGCAGAAAGCCTGACTTCCTTCTCTGGGCTGACACATTGGGGGAAATTCAACATGCTGACAGCCTGAAGACACACTTAAAAAATATGTATAATCTCTTTTTGTCCTATGTGATATTTTGCAGAAAGTCCCTCAGAGTCCTTTATTTCTCTTCAGGAGTCCCATTGGTACAGCTGGTAGGATAGTGGATCACAAAAGACCCAGTGTCCCCCCCACAAACACTGTGATGTCCCCTACACTGGCACGGGCCTCTGGGGGGGGTGTGGAAGTTCACACGCACCCCAGAGGACAACCAGAAGAGGAGAGTTGCTGCTGTGGGGAAACCATGTGAACCCTGTAGGCCTATGGAGCCCTGACACAAGAAGAGCCAAATGGGAGAGGTCACACTGACACTAGGGAGGGCAAGAGAGGTCTAGCCAGCTGGGAAGTTCCAGGCCAGTAATCTGGGGGTGGGGGTGACTCAGAAGTTCCAGGCCGGTGAACTGGGGGGGGGGGGGGTGACTCAGTAGCAGAATTGGTATCAGAGTGAGCAGTGACCAGGTGGAGAGTCACTATTGTGACCCACAGAGCAGCAGAGGGGTCCTGGGCTCAGAGGTGCGCAGTCCTGCCTGGGCTCTGCTTCCACAAAGGCTCACAAAATCCCCTATTGCCAAGGTATTATCTTGGAACAAGAAGGGACTGTGACTATGAGACACCTGAAGGAGGAGATGTCTGTCCACCTATTGGGAGACTTACAGACACTGATCAAACTCCCCCATTGCCAAGGTGCCATCTTGGAACAAGAAGGGACTGTGATTATGAGATGCTGAAGGAGGGGGTGTCTGTCCACCTATTGGGAGACTTAAAGACACTGAATGAGCAGGCTTTACAAACACGACTTTTCCTTCCAGTGGGGGCAACCATGGACTAGGGTGACAGCAACTGTCCCGTCAGACGCGGACAGCAAAGGTAACCCTGGGGTCACATGTGCCTGGCCACCTTTTCTCTGGCTACACGTCAAAGGCGCCCTCAGTACCACGTAGAGCTGTCGCTTCGGGAAACGTGACATGACCACCCTATCTCTAGAGAAATGTGCCCATGGTCACATTGTCCTTTCTTTTTCCTTCTGCAGTATCGAACGCTGGCTCCCTGGTGTCATCGCTGATACCGTGTGTGTAGATAAGCATGCTCTGTTTGCTCTCACCGTGAGGGACAGAGTTCAGATACTAGGGGGGAAATGCCAGGGTCCTTGCTGAGCTTTGGAAACCTCATTTAGGGTGGGCCTTTCCATTGAAAGGGAGCTGATTAGGGCTGGACAAGGACAATAATGCCATGAGTCAGGATTGTCGAGTATAACAAGGCAAGGATTTTTGAGGCAGTCTTGAGGGTGTGTGCCTTTGGTAACTTCTATTGAAAAGTAAATGGATCTTTTCTGGGAGATTCTAAAAGGACAAAGTTACAAACACTTGCTGTCTTTTTTTCCAGGGAGTTACATCCTTAAAATGTAGGCCCACATGTAGGAGCGTAAATCAAAGCACGTCTATGCACATAACCAGCCACTCGGGCTACCCCTGCAGCACACACACACACTCTGCAGGGCGGGGGGAGCCATGTCCTGCAGCTCGTCTCACAGAGCTCGATGAGGAAAAGACCCAAACTCGAAGTTCCAAGTGTGATTTCAACTACGCATGTATTGTTTCTGTGCCATCATAGGGTTGAAAAAATAGTGTAGCCAACGTAAGTATCAGTACTTATAACTTTCTAGACCAGAATTTCCTAGAATAGTAAACTGTTATCAAGAATGAAAAGTGGATTAATGAAGACACATTAGTGCAGACAGTGCACTGGGGTGTAGACAGTTGTGGTGTTTAATCTGTTATGGGAAAAAAAGGCCCTGGTTCAGATGTGAATAATGCAGTGTGGCCCAGTGATTATGAACACACATGTGCATGTGAATGGACACACACACACACACACACACACACACACACACACGTCCTCAAGGCTCTGTTGCTTACATGCATAGGACCCATTGTTAGTCATGTCTCCTCAGTTCATGAAAGAGCAAGTTCTTGCTCTTCATGTTAGCAAAACTCTGCTGTAAGTCCTCCAGGAGACTCAGCTTTGTGGAGGGATTAGATGTGCACACTGTAGCAGAAAGTCGGACAGAAGCCAGAGAGGCATCGTGCCGAGCTGGGGTTCCCGAGGAAGGACAGCAGGGCTCTACAGAAAGTCTGAGGATGATCAGGACAGGCAGGGTGTCTTTGGCGTGACTGTTCTCTGCCTTGAGATTTTCTTCCTCTCTCTTGGCCTGATTCTAGGGTTTCATCAGGGCCTCAGTGAACACAGGTTCCCAACCCTATGCTCTTCCCAGTGATTTCCAGGATTGGAAGTTCAAAATGGACATGGAGCAGAGAGTCCCAAGATCACCAGAGACAGGCCTGGGCACCACCTCACCTTAAACATTCAGACTGTCGTATGCCCAGCCTTAGTGCTTCCCAGTGTAATCCACTCGGTATCTTTCCTGTGCCCTACAGGGCTGTTAAGGAGACCATATGCAAATGCACGGTTGGGGGCTGCAAAGATGATGGCTCCATGGTTCAGGGTGCTCGCTGCTTCCATAGAGATCCAGAGCTCCATTCCCAGCATGCACATGGATAACTCCCTGCCTGTGACTCCAATGCCAGGGGATCCAGTGCCCTCTTCTGGCATCCATGTGTAACTGCACATATGTTGTGGCGCATATAAACTCATGCAGGCACACACACACATAACAAAAATAAGATTAAAGCTGCATGTTCTCTTTTGAAGGGTTCTGCTGGCCGACACATCCCTTAAAGGCCTTTCTTTTTTACCTTCCCCACCATTTCCCTCACAAACCTCCCCTGCTTCATCTTTGCTTTTCTGATCTCTTACCTTGCTGGACTGCCTGAACCTATTTATAGCATCTGTGTGCCTTTGGGTTTTTTTTTTTTACTTTTATATGTGAAACCCCAATTGCAGTCTTATTCCTGCTTAATTCTATCACTACATGAGATATGGGTCACATACTGCAGACTGTAAATAGGCCATGGGGACGGCCTGACTTTTAAGCCATCTTGGGGTCAAGCCCTGGTCTATGTACTTACCAGCTGTGAGGACCCAGGCATGGAGCCTAAATATTTGATCCCATACTGAAGCCAGGAGAGTACCTTTTGTGTGAACACACGTCTTCATATCACCCAGGACACGTGGATGGATGCCTGCTTTACTCCCAAAGTCTGCAGACACAATGGCGCATGGGGACCACTTGACCCAATGACCCGTGATGTTTGTATTCACATTTTAACTTCCCCACCCAGGGCCAGGACTAGGTGGGGTAGGCAAGGCCTGATAAATAAGATGTCTGATACACCCACAGATCTTCACACTCGAGGTAATATTTTCTTGGTGGTGCTGAGACCTACCTGAGGCCTCACTGCATCATAGACAACTGTTTAGCCGCACCTCCAGCTCTACTTAAGGTTTATTTTCGAGACAATCATTGACATATAGCCCAGGGTGGCCTCAAAATTAAGACCATCCTACCTCAACATTCACAGCAGCTGAGATTATAAGTGTGCCATCATAACCTGACTGAGGCAGATAATACTTCTTCAACACACGATTTTAGAAAGCCATACCAAGCTAGGGTTTGAAAAGGCAAGGTCAAGTCCCAGCTTTATTTTTTTTTTAATTTTTGGTAGATATTTCTTCATGAATTTTCATGAGTTTCCTTTTTTATTTTTTTTAACTATTATGCATCTTGATGACCATATTTGGCAACCCCTCAAGTTCTGCAAATGGCCCTGCCTCCCTTACTTAGATCTACAGAGTACACCTTCTGTGTTTTAGAATCCCTGTGTGTGAAATGCAGATGGTGCTGACAGCGTCCACCTCCCCGGGTGACTGGCAAACTGACATATTCAAAGCACCGATGCCTGGGCCTCGTGACTGTGTGTACTGTTGGTAAAGGTTCTTCTTCAGGGGCATCACGCATGTGGCATGACCCTTCCCCTGCCCGGTTATACCTCTTTTACTCATCTGCCACTCAAACAGCACTCTGTAGTTCTCTACTCTGCAGGAGACAGTTGTTTTAAGTACAGAACAGGGCTGAGCACCGCCTAAGATGCATTCCTAGGAGTTTCTAATCTAGTGCTGAGACGCACTGGGCTGATTTGAGCAGAGGGTACAACCTTCATGAGCCTTCCAGATTTAACCCGCTCCACCAGCTCTCAGCCGCCTTTCCAATCACCAGTCTCAAACTTGGCTGAACTAGGCAGTTTGTTATCAGCCTCCCCTGAGTTCTGCTGTAGATAATCGGGCCTCTAACACAAGGGTCACTATGGTAATGATTGTGCATGTTGGCGCTTAGGCGTCCGGAGGCCACCGCATCTGTGTAGCTCAAACCCCATGATGTCACAAACCTGATTCAAGCCAGCTCAAGCCTCCAGCTGACAGCCCCAACACTGTAACTGTTTTCCTGAGCACACAGACAGCCACGGAGTGCCCTTGCCACTGTACGGTCCCATTTTATTGCCTCCAGTCACATTTCCCTACATCTTGACCCCCTTGTTTCTTCCTGCCATAACCAACCTTGTGGCAGAGGAGGCAGGTTTGAGCCCTGCTCTCCATCCTCATGCTTGGCTGCCTTGGGATTGAACTTCCAGTCTTGGTGACTGGCGTGCTGCGGGCTGCGCAGAGCTGGCTCTGCTATGGGTTAGTCACAAAACTGAGTGTTGCAGGGGCTGCACAGCTGCAATGCTAATACTCTGAGGAGGCTAAGGCAAGAAAATTGTGAGTTCCAGCCAACCTAGGCTATAGAGTGAGGCCAAGTTCAAAAAGGAGAGGCAGGGGGGAAATAGGGGAGAGGGAGAATGAGGAGAAGGAGGAGCAGAGACTAACTGTTTTAGTCAGGGTTTCTGTTGCTGTGCAGAGACACCATGGTCATGGAAACTCTCACAAAAGGAAATAAAAACGTAATTGGGGTAGCTCGCTTACAGTTTCGGAGGCTTAGTTCATTATCATCATGGAGGTAAGCACGGCAGCGTGCAGACAGACGCGGTGTTGGAGAAGGAGCTGAGAGTTCCACATCATGAACTGCAGGCTTCTTAAGCAAAGGAGACCTCGAAGCCCACGCCCACAGTGACACACCTCCTCATCAAAGGCGCTTTCCACTTTTACTCGCTCTGTAGTGTTCAAGCGACTTGAGACTTTCCTTGGTTTTGGGTGTGCCCTGTCTGGGAAGCCTCTGACTGAATGCCAAAAACAAACAAACAAACAAATAAGCCAATAATAATAATAATAATAATAATAATAATAATAAACAAAGGAAACAAAAACATAGAATACTTAAAAGAGGCTTTTATCCAGGAGCCATTCTGTTCAGCAGGTGCGGTCCGTGCAAGGCTCCGTCTCTGACATCACAGTGAAGCTGAGCTCAGAGCCCAGGAGAGAACTGTGATGCTAACCCAGGCGTCTCTGGATCCACCCAGCGGTTAGATGCAATCTTCAGCTGCCACAAATGTCGCAATGGAAAAGCAAAGTCACCCCCATGGAGTAACCCCAGACACACTCAGGATGCGTGTACGCTCTGTAGGGCCCAGGCAAGGCTCAAAATTCTTCTGGGGAACATCCCCAGAAGATGCTTTGTGGCCTCAGATTGATCCTGGCTGGGATTAATGGCTGTGTTGAAGGAAATCTGAGAACTCTGGACAATCCACGTACATCTCCTCTACATCCAGGAGAAGTCCTCTGTCGCCTTCCAGGACAAACACCCTTCTCCCCTCTCCCTTGCTCATCTCCCCCTTCTCTCATCCTCTGTCTCCTGTCTTGGTCTCTTATTCCCTGCCCTTTGTCCCTCTGGGACAAGGAAATCTCCTTTGTGCTGCAAACTTGGTCTTGGGTGTCTTGTCCTTTCAAACGTTTGCTTAGGGAGGTGGGGCCACTCACTGAGAAAAGGGGGATCACAGGGTATAGTATGACACTACTTCTGGGGAGACGTAAACAAAGGTCTACTCACCCCAGATAGGGAGTGGGTAGTGATCAAGGTAAGGACAGTAACACACTCCAACCTGTTAAACTGAGTTGTAGTGGGGTCACTTAGAGGAATATGGGTGAGAGGTCACTCACAGGAGCACGAATGGCACAAGGACAGCGACGTCACCAAGCATCACCCCAGCATAGGTGGCCGCTCATAAAAGCGGGCATCCTGGATTCCACTGCACAGCCTGTAGGCCCCCTCCATGGGTTGGAGTGTCTTTTGCAGTTGGCTCATTTGGTCTTGCATCTCTTCCAGGCAGCTTGAGCTGAGCCACTCCTAAGCAGCTCAGCTTGTCTGTGGGTCTTCTAGGGAGCCCAGCTTTTCTAAGAGTGGATCTCCCCAGACTTTACTGCAAATGTGCTCTTGAGGAAGGAGGGGGCCTCGTGAATATGGTCAGCTTCGGGGACTTCCTGAAGTTACTGAGTTGGTTACTTCCTGTCTGAACTGTCTGAATGAAACCTGCAGAGAGAACACAGTCTTTAAATCCCTCCAGACCTCTGCTAAGGAAAAAAGAGGGCGTGATGCCACTTTAATAAACAGCCTACCCTGTTGTCGGTGCCATTGTTCCAGAAAGTGTTAGCAGCGGCAGTCTTCTGGTTGGTCTCACTGTGGTGGGTGTTTCAGGCGAGGATCTAAGGCAGTCAGACCCAGGATGCCTAACGGGAAGACTGCATGGATGTCACGGGCCTGGTGGCTGTACAAAAGATCCTTGGACATACAGGAGAGTCAGCGGGAGAGGGTGTCTTACAGGTGTAGAAGGCCTAGGTCATAATATAGGGTACAGGAGTTGTTGTTGAGGACAAGAAACCCAATCTTCTCCCCTGCCCTGGAGGCACAAATGCTCATACAACACATGGCCCTAGCAACCTCAGGACCTCACAAAGGGACGGCACACCTAAGAGATGTCACCCATCAAAGACCAACCCAAGATTCAGTTCCACCACATTAGGTCAAAGTTGTCTCTGCCCGGTGCCCGAAAGTCGTAGGCTTCCCCTGTGTGTGGCTTCCATCAGAGCCCAAGGAAGTTCTGAAAGGGGTGAGTTAAAAATGGAGAAGTGAGATTCTCTTGGTTGCTTGTAGTTAAATTGTGCCAGTTTTGTGAATTTGATGCACAATAAATCTATGGCGGTGTGGGGATGCTTGCTGAGTCATTCCAGGATCTGAGGAGAAACTGAGTAGGTGGGGATCCTGAAGGCGTCATTTTCCAAGGAAGTGCTCCTTGGTTGGAAGGGACAGAGGTCTAAACGGAAGCTGGGAGTGAGGTGTGTTTCCTCTCCTGTTGCATCTCTGCTTACTTCTATCTATTGACCCCAGATGCAATCTATGTTTAGGAGGATTAAGTACTGCCTTTGGAAGATGAAGTGAACAGAAAAAAAAAAAACCCACATATTAATGACTTAGAGCCTGCTTATAAAAAACCTCATCATCAAAAATTAAATCGGTGGCAGATTAAAAAAAGAGCCATTTGTCCCCAGACATTCTCTTGGAAATGATGTGTGCAGAATGTGACCATTAATCCCCGAGACCTGTGACTTCAAATTCTGGATGTGAGAGCTGCCTGCTAACTCAGACTTTCTGCCCTCTCAGAGACAAGCAGTTTACTGCTATCTGGTTGCTGATTTCTTTTTTTTAAAATCTTTATTATGTCGGGTTTGTTGTTTTGTTTTGTTTTTTAAACTGCTCTGGGCAGAAGACGGAGAATAGAGCTCCTAATGCTTGCAGAGCACAACCTTTGGCAAAGTAAAGTCACTGCAGGTTAATTAAGAAATTTTTTAAAATTCTTCCATAGACAACTCCGTGCCCTGAGAGGAAAGGTTATAATTAAGATAGATTCTGTGTCATTCTGATCGTTTAAAATGCCAACTCTTCAGAAAACGGAGATAATAAAGTCAGCAGGGAGAAAACTAGCGGGTTTGGATGAACTGACCTTGCTACCAAGAAGACTCCAGGAACTTCCTTTCCCTACCAAGGCTGCCTGAATGCTCACAGCATCCAATCTTCATCCTCAAGGCCTAGAAGAAGATGCTCCTAAGCATTCTCTGTGCCCCGAAGAGTCTCCTCTATAGACCTGAGAAGCTGAAACCCTGATGACTCCAAAAGGAAGGTTTCTCTAAATGAGAAAGTGTTCCCCTACTCATGCCTGCTGGGTGTGGTGATACACCAGGCTGCTGCAGGGTCGCGGTAAAGTGTGGGATGGGACCTAGGGGAGAAGCAGGCTTCTTGCATGAAGTTGGAGCACCTGGTACCAATGTCCTCCTCTGTGTGGGGGCCTCCCATGATAGGGATTTTTAAGGGACGCTTCCGTATGCTCTCTGGAGATGCAGACCAGGAAACATCTAATCAACCCCTCCCTGGAGGGGGCAATGGAGCCTGGGTGACTTCATAGCTCTGATCGTTCCATCCCGTTCTAAACCACAGAATCCATGTCCTTTGGTCCCTTCTTTCTGCAGGACGATCTCATGAAATGGTGCCTTCAAAGTCCACCCCAGTCTGCCTCATGTGTCCCTACCTCTCTCGGTTCAATGGTCACCCACAATAGCCCTCTCTCTGCTCCTAGGATGGCCCTCACTCTCTCTCTTGCTTTTTGAGTTTTTCAAATGAAACCCAAACATAACCAAATGAGGGACCACCTGGCACTCCCCAGAGAGCTCCTTCTCTTTCATCTTCTCTTTTCATGGCCAGAGCCTTAGAGATGCTTTGAGCAATTCTCGGGCAGTGAAGCCTGTCGTACGATTGTAGTTTGCTTGTGAGTGTAGCCCTGATCTTTGCACACTCTAGGCAAGTGCGTGCTAACTTCTTGCTTTCTGACCTGCATCCCGTAACACTGCCTTCTGGAGACAACTCTCACTATGAAGCACAGGCAGCCTTTACCCTAACCATCCTCCTGCCTTGGTCTCTGGAGCACCGGGGTCACGGTCATGTATTGCCACACCTGTCCTGACCTGGTGTCCCTCCCTGTCATGTGCATCTCTGGCACTAAACGGTGATGAGTGTGAATGGGCATAATTAACTTCAGTAGACTCCATCCCTGTAGCTGAAAGTCCTTATCTAGTGTGTGGGAGGCTGTGATTACCCACTGTTCACAGGGTTAGGGCCCCATTTGCAATTTTCAGAGGGCCAAGTTCATTATTTGTAAAAAAAAAAAATCTGTGCTTACTGTAGATCTGGGAAATATTACTCACTGTGGAAGCTGATAGGGTGTGAAGTCTTTCTATACTGACATCATGGACTACAACAAATGCAGGCGAGTAAAATTGTCCCAGGTTTTAGTCTCTTTGAGAGACTCCTCTCCAGCATCTGGTCCCTGCAGACATTCATATCTCACACCCGGAACAACATTTACTCACTAGTGAGAAAACAGACTCAGAGACGTTGTGTGGTTGGCGCATGTTTACCCATCTTCTATGTGGTTGGGATTCAAGCCTAAAATCTGACTAACGCTTTTCAATTTTATGCTCACTGAATTAGTGAATTGCTACAAAACAAAAATACCGTTGGGCTAGCACTCAAAGCTGCAGCCACCTCCAATGCCCACTTCCTCTAAGTCTCGGTGTCTTAGTTTTCTGCTACTGTGACAAAAATGCCCAAGGATGCACTACAGAAAAAGAAGAGGGTGTTTAACTCATACGTTAGTCACAGGCTGAAAGTCCAAGAGCAGACGGCTCTAGCTGTTTAGCCTGTGACAAAAGTCCCCTAGACCTGGACAAAGGAGTTAAGACGGGCTGGGTTAACCCACAAAACAGTTGACCTGAACAAGGGGAGCTCTTGAACTCCAGACTGATGCCTGTGTGGAAAGCATGGGACTAACCCAGCCCCCTTGAATGTGGGTGTCAGTGAGGAGGCCTAGGTAATCTTTGGGGGCTTGGGTAGTATTTACCCCTGGTGTACAAATAGACTTTGAGTGCCCATACCACAATATGGGAGGCTCTCTCAGCCGGGACTCTTGGTGGAGGGCCTAGGCCCTGCCCTGGATGAAATGACAGTCACTGGAGATCCACCGTGGAGGGCCTCACTCTCCCTGGGGTTTGGAGTGGAGATTGGGTGGGGGACTGGGGGGCCTGGTGTGGAGGGCAAGGGAGGAGGGGAGGGAGAGGGAGCTGGGATTGACATGTGAAACAAGATTGTCTCTAACCTACCTAAATTAAAAAAAAAAATAGAAAATAAAAGGTCCCCTTGACCATGTCACTGTGTCCTGCTGTGTCCTGGAGAAAAATACACAGGGAAATGCTGGTCTCCTTTACGTGACTGCACGAAGAAGGGGTCACGCGCACGCGTGCTGGTTTCCCTTACGACCACGTTCTTCCTCGAGAACTAGCACATTCTAAGAATTCAGTGCTAATCCCCTCCAGAGGAGGTCCCCAGTGACCTAATGGGTTCCCTTTGGGCTCCATGTCTTTCTTATTGACTCTGCCACACAAGGTCATCCCATTGGGAACCAAGCTTCCAGCACGAGAGACTTCGGAGGGCAAACACAAACCACACCGGCGCTATAGCTCTTTGAAATACGCGAATCAGCTAGAGGTCTAATGGGCGCGCCTTAAACACAGCCCCTCAAGTTGGCGCTGCCCTTAAGGTTTCTAAGACATCACTGGAAATCCAGTCTAATGTCTTTGAGTGTATCGTCTGCGCCCAGTGCACAGTGGACCCCACATCTACAGAAGGGCCTCTCGTGGGCAGAGGGTGCCGCTGGGTCCAGGAGGAGGTGAGCTCTGACTGAGCAGTGAGAGCACGGAGGAAAAAGTTGGGTGTGTCGGGGTGGGAGGGGGTCGATTTAGCTCCGCCTCTCTTGCGGAGTCCTCAGAAGGACCCGAGGAAGAGTGTGGTTTGGGGGATGGACACCTTCTAAATGATAGCATGCGAGGATGCAGAAGCTACATACACTCAAGCAAGTCTGTGTGTGTGTGTGCGTGCGTGTGTGCGTGTGTGCGTGCGTGCGTGCGTGCGTGCATGTGTGTGTGTGTGTGTGTTGACACGGAGAGACAGAGACAAAGAGGGATTTCTGCCAAAGACAGATGAGGTGACGGAACTGTGCTCCGATGCCACACAGAACCCACACCGTGGCACTAAAACGCAACCAAATTAGGAAGCTAGTTCTGGGACTAGTGGTTTCTCCAGCTGTGTGGATAAGCAGCGCCATCTAGTGGGGCTTCAAGCAAACTGTCACAGTCTCAAGCACATTGAAGTGTGAAATCCTTCATACCAGCAACAAGGATGACTTCATTAGAGTTCAGTGTGATTGACTTCAGGTTAGAATAAAACTCTGACTAGAAAAGTCTCCATTTTAACCCTACCATTGTTCTGGAGGCAGGCTGGCTGCAAGGGCACTTTGGGGGAGGGGGACTGTATCCACTAATCATTTGTGCACACACACACACACACACACACACACACACACACACGTTCCTGTGAGAATTTGATTCTCATAATGTGTATCGTATAAGATTATTGGGAGAAAATCTTGAGTTTGCTTAGAAATTGTTTAGGTTTGTGGGGTTTTTTTTGTTTCTGTGTTAAAGAAACAGTAATCGTTATCTCTGTGGTCCCCATGGCAGGGTCACTTTGGTTCCTCCCAACTGTCTTTGACTATGGGTGACTCCTGGGGGGGGGTATCTTCCTCAACTCTTGGGATGCTAGCTTTGAGATGCACCTGTGACAATACATAGTGGTGCTTCTAAGTCTACACCAGTTCCTCTAAGAGGCCACCTTACTTCCCAGTATGTTTGGGTGGTCTCTGCCGGGTCATCGGAAGTCTAAAGTTAAGAGCAGCCAAGACTGAACTCACCTTGCTTTCATTTCATTGGTCATGCAAGCAT